AGACTCTGGGATTGTACTACGTAGTGTACATAGTATGTAAGGTAAGGTACTGTACGTAGCGGGAGAGCTGCTGATGGATTGATGGATTGTTGGGATGAACGAGGATGAGACTAATCGAGTATTACAATTAGTGCACGCTGAAAGTAAGTCTGTAAAGCCATTGTCAAGTATTCCCAGACCTTGGGATGAAGCGTACCTTAGCTACTTTACTTCGCGAAGGTATTTGCATGCTGTCTTTCGCAAGCCTTGGCTGATGACGGGATAGATGAAAGTTTCTTCCTAACCCAAGGATCGCTTGCTCTTCTTTCTTCTGATCTAAGAGATAAGCCGTGCGCATCAGGAGCCAGTGAGATCTTGATTGATAATTTGGGCTACCTACTCTGCTTCACATCGTCTTTACCACGTACATACAAATGCCTACACAGCCGCAAGCAGTCAGTTTCGTCTCGTGTGAAGGTACCCGCAAGCATCAGGGGATGGCCAGGATCCAACAACGAACCAATGGGCGGATACGAGAATCCCAGGCGGTTCCCAGGCGTTGCTATTCGAGAGTGAGACACATGCCGCTGGCGCATGTCAGTGCTCAGATGTGCCGCCCGGTTCCTGTTCCAAGGTGTCGGTACGCCCGCTCCAACCCACGGAGAAACGGCGCCGCCATGCCCGATGAAGAATGTCGGTTATGGCCCCGGGTCTTGGGAGGTCTTGGGTAAGTCTTGGACTTTTCTTGGGCCATCGAGAAAACGCCGCAGCTATATATTTGCCAAGACAAAGCATTCGTGGCTGTTGAGATGGGCCAAGATGGCTTGCGATGGCCTTGGCAACATTTAATATCATCGTCTTGCGCTCCAGGCTCAAGCACAGGACCGTAGGTTCTCCATACGGATACCTACGCTGTACACATGGCGGGCAAAGCTAGTTTCAGTCCTCGCCTACGTTTGCCGAACCAGGACACCGGTATGCTAAGGCCCAATATGCTATAGTCTACCTTACGGCGTGGTGCAGTGGCCATCCAACACTGCCTACACAGTACACAGGAGTAAGGTCGCAAGGCAACGTGGCTGTGTGCCAAAGATGCACGTCCACGAGCGAGCCCCTCCCCCTTCAGTCTTGGAGACTCTTGGCTCGCCAGAGACCGACCTGCGGGTTCATCTCTGGCGACGTAGGCTCCAATCAAAAGAGCCATAATGACCCAGGCGCATAGTTCTTCTGGGCCCTAAACTTTATCTTGACCAGCATCAACCAGGCAGAGCGCATTTTACATGCGTCTACGCCGACCGCTTAGCCCTCACCTCAACTCACGATGGGCCTCTCTACATTTGCCGCACCGAGTAAGGCGCGCGCTCTGGGAACCCCGGAGCCCTGTCCCCAATCCTTGGCGTCAGCGTCGTCGCATCACCAACGGTCCTAACTAGTAACCCCACCACTGTCACGGGCTGGCAGCTGCTCGTGCTCTTCACATCTTCCGAAATCCAGTCCCATCTTCTCCGCCCTACTCCTTCTCTGCCATGTGCGGTGTTCGCAAGTCCGCTGTAGCGAGTTCGGACGATTTCATCACTAAGGAACACTTGCCTGAGCCTACCCCAGCGAGCGGCGGCTATTCTTGAACATGGCTGACAGAGGTTAATGAACATGTGGCCACTAATAGCAAGGCGAGTCAGCCGCTCACGGACATGCGTCGGCGCCGAATGGGTCTCCTCGACATTCTGCGTTCGACGCCAAAGCTGGGTCTCTAGCATTGTTGAACTGGAGCCCTTGGAGGGTCCTCTCATCACTCTTCGTCTTGGCCAAGCTTCACCATCTACTATTTGGCCAAGACTAACATGTCTACTCAATATCGCGGGATGTGGTGTTCACGCGGGATAACGCCGTAATACCTACCTCCACTAGCATTGCGACGCCTTGCGCCAAGCGCTCGCCAGTTTGACTTTTTGATGACAACCTATTCCGGCCAATCTTTCGGCGTCCTTCTCCAGTTGTCTTCGCAGCAGCGTTCGCGGTGCTTCCTGGACCTGACTTCATCCGGGCGTGGAGAGGGCCTCCTTCCGTTCTCGTGATGTGTTTCCCATGTCCTGACTCTTATCCCTGCCAGTATCCCCCCTGGTTCCGTCCGCGATTGATCATTGCCAAGCACGTGTTCGCAAAGAGGTCCGCCCTTTCCATCCTCGAGCAGGTAGCTGGCAGAAGCCTGCCAGATCTCAAAGGGGCTTGGGTTTCTTGCAGCTTGACCAGGTAAACCTGCCAAGACGTTGCTTTCTACGCAGATTGGTGCCATCATGGCTCCATGAAATTAATATCGCATCTCATTGTCATAGCTTCCCGCTCCTTACGATTAACTACCACTCTGCAGTGCTGGTGTATATTTACCTTTAGATCTGCCGCTGTCTAATCTGATGTTTCAAAGAGTCACTCACATCTCACCTCATTCTCACTGAGAACCAGTCACTCTTTTAGTATTCTACCATACAATCGCTCGTTCTGGACAATCTCCATTCTCATCATGAAGTCTGCCACTCTACTCTCCCTCATTCCTGCGGTCGCCGCCTTTTGCCACCATGGAACCAGCCTTTTCAAGAAGGATCAGCTTTTCAAAAGAGCAGATGGTACTTTCGGATTCGATGGTCTGAATGGCCCCCTCAACTGGCACTCCATCAGCTCCAACAACTCTGCCTGTGCTCTGGGAAGAAGCCAGTCTCCCATCAACGTTCAACAGTCAAACACCAAGCAGATCAAAGGCTCTACCATCACCTTCAGCCCGGACCAGCACCCCGAGGGAGGTGAACTCGAGAATCTCTCGGGATTCCTGGAGGTCCGCGCAAACGGCACCATGAAGAATGGCGGCAAGACCTTCAACTTGCGTCAATTCCACTTCCACACCCCTAGTGAGCACCGTATCAACGGCGAGCACTTCCCCCTCGAGGTTCACTTCGTTTGGGAAGCCGAGATAGGAAACGGTATGTTCTCGCCATGTTTGACTCCTCGCAATCCCCTCGGACATTGCTAATTGTCACTCAGGATCCTCTCTCGCTGTCGTTGGCTTTCCTATCGAGGTCGCCGAGAAGTCGGACCCCCTCCTGGCCGCCGTCTTCAAGAACGTTGACAAGGTCACCGAGTTCGGATCACACACTGCAACTGGACCTCTGGACTTTACCAGCCTGGCTCAGCATATCTCAAAGAACACCATCTACCAGTATGTTCCATCTACCAATCCTTAAAAGCTTCCTCGAGCTTCAGTCTAACTTGTGCCAAAGATACACAGGCTCTCTCACAACCCCTCCTTGTACCGAGTCCATTGCGTGGAACGTTGTTGGAAGCCCAATTCCCCTCGACATTGCGACCTACCTGAAGACGAAGAGCATCATGAAGTACAACGCCCGCTATACCCAGAACAGCCCCGGTGAAATGAACTTGTTGGAGAATGCATATGAGAGCCTCAAGAAGATTATCGAGAGTGGTCAAGGTACGAACTAGATTTACTAGATGATCTTTGCAATTGAACATACTTTTTTGTTATTATCAGTGGGAGCTATTATCATGACGAAAACTCGACCAACGAAGCTGCCAAGCTTTTGAGGTTTGGAAACGATGCTCTTATAACAAGCTCTGCCAAGTGAGACATGAAAGTCGCTAAACTTGGGTTCAGTCGCAGATCCCGTGGACGAAAGTCCGTGCAAGAAGGGCAAAAAGGGCGGGCGCAGGAATTAGGCCAATTGAACAATAATTAGCACCCTGCAGAAAAGTAGAGAACTTGGCTCAAAAGTTAACAATCCACATGTTGACGTAAGGAATGCTGCGTCGGACGCTAGGCATCATTGAACCGAAGGAGTGTATTAACGGACAATGGGCAGTGGGTAAGATGGTCAGTTATCGGAGGAGAACTTTCTAAACGCTTGCATTCCTACTTTTTCAGTCCCATATGCTTAGTCGCCTAGAGGCCTTCATATTTTAATGTATTCATAGGTGTTTAATAACCAAGTCATGTACGGCTGTCCTCCCGGCTACTTGAAAATGGACTCAATAGCATCCATGCACCCGTTAAACATCTCCTCCAACATTCCGGCAAGAACTGGTTGAAAGCTTGGCTCCGTCCATTCAGAAGCGCCAGACCAACTGAAATGTGTTTTGTCCTCGCTTACGGCTGTCAATTGCAGCGTTCCGCGGGGGTTCGTCGTGTTTGGGACGCCGTCAAGAATTAGGTAGGTGATGGTGTGTGTCTCCGGATCGGCTATCTCCAATCGTTCATGAACCACATGGCCGTTGTTGAAGGTCAGAGTGCGAACTGATCCAATACCGAATCCCTCAAGACTGGACTTGATAACATTGGGAAACCAAAGCTTCTCGGAACCAAAGGCTGCAATTATTGCCCAAATGTCGGCGATTGGTGCGTCGATCACTCTCACAACTTCCTTCGTCTTGTCTTGTGCCATGGTGCCGGAACGGTCGGCAGTGGGAGATTTGAGATGAGGTTGAGTTTAACTTGAGGGACAATGCTTTGATTAGATCAAAGAGATCAATATGCCGCTGGAAACATATTGCGTATGTGCGCCGGTAGTTTGTCTTTTTGAAGTCTGGTGCAGCCGGTGGGATATGATCAATCAAGCCTGTGGGATGCCTCTTTAGCCCCCGGCCAGTGCCCGCGGGTTGCGACAGAGCGATGGCGGACGTTGCTGGCGGGCTTGGCGCAGATAAGATCCGAGCTTCAAACGCCGGGTTTCCTTAACTAACTGCTTGATCTAATATACTTCTATAAATTGAGTTATGGTGAGTAATAATGTATGAACTTCCTCCGTTATCTCTTCAAGGCATAAGAGAAATAGAATAGCTCAACAATAGTCTCTAGTACCTGAAGTTTTCCATTTGTGAGTAGATACTAATACTGGCAACTGCTAAAAGTCGACACTATGTCAGGAGTCACAAAGGAACATAAAGATGACCAATTGTGAATCATAAACAGGAAGGAGCCATTGACTTTGTCAACATACACCATGCATCTTGTTATCAATCTATTTCGGTGCCTGAGGGGTAATCACGATTTCCCCGGGTTCTCTCCTCTGATCTGCGGCATCCCAAGCCTCTTCCCAAGCTTCCAACGCAAACGCTCTGACTGGACCCATGCCAGCTCTATCCCCAAGTGGCAGGATGCCGCTTTCCACAAGTTTGATGAGTCGCCTCGTTTGTTCTGGAGTACTCATCATCGTGCCTTTGACAGTAAGCGCGCGAAAGAGTATGTCAACGTAGCTAAAGTTCACATCAAGCGGTGCGCCGCCACTGAGACTAACGCGCGCGCCGATCCTGAGTGCCTCGAGGCAGCTCTTAAAGTGAGTTGAGGATGCAGCTGTGGCCGGTGACATGTCCCAGAATGCATCAGCCAGACCACCGCATGCACTGCGTATAGTGTCGGTGTCCCGTGCAGTATCCCCGGTGATTGTTGCGGACGAGATGCGAGGGTTCATTGCGGCAAGCTTTGAGAGAATGCCGTGGTTCCGGCCAATCGCTACAACGTGTGCACCCAATGCTAAGGCGAGATGTACCGCGGCAGATCCGTGGCGACCAGTTGCTGGGGCGATTAGGACGGTATCTCCTGGCTTGATACCTATATCTGATAGCCCCCCAAATGGAACGAGCATGCTGAATAGATGTGTCAAGTCTAGAATAGTATAGCCCAATCCACCGTGGCTCTTACTAGCCAATAAGCGGCTGTCGTCAAGAACATGACAGTTCTCAATCGGCAGCTTGGCGTAATCTGCGTACGTTCCATCCCGCCAATCTCCGCGGGACAGTTTGAAGCTCTCGGGAGTTAATCCTTCCATCATGGCTGAGACATAAAACCCACCCCCATCGCGTGCCTGAATGTAGGGATCAAAGAAGACAAGCTGGCCTTCTTTCAGAATGGTGACATCCGAAGAGATCTTAAACACCCTTCCGATAGCGGTGTGTCCTGGGACGAGGGGGAAAGGCAGCGGATATCCGCTTTGCGGGTCTCGATAGATTCTAGGCGAGTTGGCTCTTACAGTCGCAGCCAGAACGCGGATAACGACACTTCCGGGTGTCGCTTCAGGGATTGAGCGAATTTGCATTTCTGCCCTAAGGGTTTTCATGCCTTCCACGCTCTGGAGAAAAACTGCACGATTTTGGGTTGACGTAGGGGAGGCCATGGCGGAGAAGGTTGATAAAGACTATGGTGCCAATTTTGGAGTGAGCGTTAGATTCAAGAACTTGATGAAACAAGAGGATGATGTAGGTAGATTGTTAGTCTCGAATGATTTGAACAAGAATTGTGACGTTTTTAAGTTAGGCGAAAGCACTCGTGGAGTGGAGTTGTTGATGCCACAGAGAAGCATGTTCTGGCCTTACCGTTACTCCGTACCTGTCTCATAATCGTTCATCTACAACTCCATGTAAGTCCGACTGCCTCCACGCGTTGAAACGTTCGTGTCATACTTTAAAAGGAGCTCCTTGGCAAGCAAAAGCTGCTTGCACGTTGAAGTGATTAGCGGAGTTGTATGTACCTTGCGTAGAAAGATCCACAGATGATCAACGGCCTGCGGAGTTGCTGGGCTCCAAAATCAGGTTCGTCAGATCAACTCCGCAGCCAATTCTGTCAAATTCCGCCGATCAGACTCATGTAACAGCATGAGGCAGTATGCTCTGTGTACTATAAGAAAGCGGCACACCCCTATCATCCGGCGTGTTATGTGTTCAGTCGTGTAATATTGCACAACTGTAAGACGCTGCAAGAGGAATTAATGGCGTCATTATTTTGTTGTAGTCTACAATATCTCCATGTTGATTGTCAAATGAAGATGTAGGGAAGTGATCTTAGCTTGGGGAGGTGTTTTAGTTTTGATTGCCCCCAGAAGGTTTGCGGACTGCCGTTCACAACATCAAGGCTAGTGGACGATTTCCGGATATGCAATGGTAAAGCAAGGTATGAGCAAACCGATTATGAAGTTCGTTGATGAGCATAATGTATGAAGACACCTGGTTTTGCGAGCATCCGAAGCTGGATGGAAATTCACTTTACGTAAGCAGCTGATAATGTCTCACCCCCTCATTACCTAAGATAATATCTTCGACGCACATTTCTCTCTTCCTGTCATCATGCTCAATGCCAGCCAATTCGCTTCAATGGCCAACGCTGCTTACTCAATCAATATCCTTTCCTCTTTTCTCTCAAATGAGGAGATCAGAGATGTGAACGGTCTCAACCAGTTCTTCCGTTCTCTCCCGGACCCTGCTGCCCCGAGCAAAGTAGAAGAGCACCAAGCAACCGATGTTATTGTCTTTTGTGCCTCTTCTGTTTTGTCACTTGCGGATGTAGTTTTCTCAGCTGTGACTACGAATGGTTTGAGGTCAAAAGAACAAATTTCCAAGTATACAGATGCCACGATCCTGTGCGATTAAGTACATCGTCTTGAACAAGTGCTGACACCCGTGTTTAGAGAGGGAAGAAACACAGTTCTGGTCTTGTGTGGTGGCATCGGTCACTCGACGCCATTTCTCTATGAAGCGATCAGCAACCATCCGGTCTACGGCGTGCTTGCCGATGAAGTGCAAGGAAAGGCTGAATCGCGTGTACTGCAGCTCATAGCTGAGCGCTGGTACGGAGTCCAGACCCATGACGTCGGAACTGTGGAAGCAACAATTCAGCCAAATGATACGAACAAATTTTTGGTTGTAGTCGAAGACCGCTCTACAAATTGTGGAGGGAATGCAGCCGAGTCAAAACGAGTCCTCGAGGCCTGTGGAGTCTACTGTCCGAGGTCCATTGTCATAGTGCAAGACCCGACGATGTCAAGGCGAACGGTGGCCACCTTCCAAAGGGCATACGACGGAGAAAGTGATGTGCTACCCCAGATAAAGAGCTGGCCCACATTCACCCCCAAAGTAAAATTCATCGACAACTCGAAGGGCCTTGTTGACAAGGATGTCATGGCTCAACTTGTATTTGATGACGAGGGGTGCGCCCATAAGACGTCAGGTGGCATGTGGAGCATACGCCGATTTGTTGATTTACTTATGGGGGAGATTCCTCGCCTCAGGGATGACGGAGAAGGCTATGGGCCAAAGGGGAAAGATTTTGTAGTCCATGTGGATATCCCAGAGAGTGTCGATGCTGCCTGGGCCATGCTTTACAGCCTTGTCGGAAAACAGAGCAGGAGCTGATGGAACGGAAATGATTGATGGTAATAGAAGTTCTTGGACTTTGGTCAGCAACAATGATAAAGCACTCGCATGAGAGTCTGGACGCTGAGGCAGAACCAGTGAATCATGTATACACCAGGCCACCGTAGTGGGCAGAACATATTCCAAGACTAGAAAGTCTTACAAGTCTTACGAACTATCCACCAGGCAACTTGTAAGACTCCCAAGACCACTTGATAGCGGATTGGTTCTGAGTCCTGGCGGGTATTTTTTGTCTCGCTACGAGTTGCCTGCAGGCAATTTCAATTCAACACCACCCATAACAAAACAGCCCAAGACATGATTTCGATTGTGAAGTATACTCATAACAACTACCCAAGTCTGCAAACATGTCTCGCACGTTAGGTTCAACCGAATTTCGGGGGCTCGTTAGAGACACTGAGGCTGAACCCTAATGCATGTTGTAAATTTGCTAAACCAATGGAAACCAGACATAAGTAGCATAATTATTCATTTCCATCATTCAGCCTCTACACCCACGCGGTGACCCTCGCCTGCTTGAAGTTGGAATTTGATTTATACGTCGCATTAAGAACTATGTTTCGCGTACCCAGCAACCCGCGAACCCTCTCATTGTCTTCGTCGGTTCCTTCCATTTCGAATCCACGGCATCCATGAGATACTGTGAGCAGTGTTCAGTGTGCCCAGGGCTAGTGACAATGGTGTCAATTGCAGCCCGCTCGTCGTAAAGGGCGTAAAATTGGCGCCGCCACATGATAGCGCAGTGGTTGATATGATCCCGAATTGACGTCCAGTAAAAGTCTCTTTCTGACATCTCATCGATGGTCAACTGCTGCGTCATATTCTTATCCGCGAACGCACCCCAGCTAGCATCTTCTTGATATTCGTCGACCGAGTCCTTGTCAAAGCACTGAGCTGGGACCCAGTGATTCAACAGGACATCGTATTTACAACCTTTGGCCCTTGCCTCTTTTGTCGTGTTGCCGCAAGAGATTCTTTTTCTGCCAGTGGTTATGTTGTGTCGCTGGCCAGAGTTATACGAAGCTGATGGTTGGGAAAGTGCAGCGTCATGGGACGCGGTCGTCGCAGCTGGTGTCGGAAAGAACAGAAAGAAAATCAGTACCCATACTAGCGAGGTGCCTATGAGTACAAGTATGTGAGAGAAAAGCGCGTTCCGACGGGTTGATGGCCGACTTGGTGATGTAGGCTCTTCCGTCGTCGGGTCGTCCGAGTATTTGAGAAAAGGCTGATATTCGGGGGTTGAAGACATTCTGTGGGTGATATTGCATGCAGATAGCTTGGTGGTCGGATGGAGCTTCAACATTTACCGCCGGCTTACCTGCAAGGAAAACTCTCTATCTTTATTCAGCTGGTTGAACTACCCGTGCGCTAGTTTCCTGCTGGTTTCTTCTGGGGAGGGCTGTGCGCAAACTCGCCTGTGACAAGTGTTGTTTTGGATTATCACCCATTGCACTAGTATTGATAGTTGACGCGCTTGGAGGGCTGTTTCATCCGAACATTCACAATGTTGGTCTGACCTGATGTTTCAGCAAAGCTGGAAGTTCATTGGGTGCTTCAATGTCTTGCGTCGCTGCGCCCCGCGCGATTGGATTATCGCTCCAGACTCGAAGCATGTCCCAACAAATGGACAGTTGCTTAAGCGCACTGCAAGATTAAGCTCATGGATGAACTTTCTTTGCGTGTTACGATCGACACGGAAGAAAGGATATTTCGACCTATCCTAGAGAAGATCTCACAGCCAGGAAGATTGTTTTGACTACTCCGTACCTTATTAAAGACCCCAATTGTGCTTCCCCTACATACACCGCGCTCACAGTGGCAAACATTATAACAATCTCTGTGAGTCACTTTCTTTCTTAATACCTTCGATAATCGTTTACTGTTCTCATTCCAAGCTAGGCAAGTGCTTTTATAAAACCCCCTAGCGTCACGCGTTGTCACAGCAACGACGAGTGCCTCAGAACACGATCAGTTGTTTTATGTGTACACTGTAGCGATCAAGAGGTGTGATACTAGAACGGTATGAAATGTTATCTTGAGGATTAAGCATGATGCTGTTATGCTAGTACTTACGGTGCTAATGTACCTTACTCTATCAAACGTTGTATCTCAAAATTGTCCTTCAATTGGACCGTTCAAAGTCTGTGCAGATGAGATGTGATCAATTAGAGAGTTCTATAGTAGCGAGGGTTCCAGTAGATGACAAAAGACTTTTAGTTGGACCACAGTAAGGTATTCATAGCACGCTTGGATACACCAAAGTCAAGTTGAAAAGAAGTTAGAATCTGAGTGGTTTCTCACTTACTCCCCTTAATATCCTACCGCTTGAAGGATGCTAGACTTCAATTGTTCTTGAAAACTTCCTAATTAAGACTTACAACATCATCACCGCTAGTCATTGGCCTTATTACCTGTTTGCATTACAAGTATACTGCCTCTTATTTGATGAAAGTTCCTTAGAGCAGTGCGTCCATCTAGCTCTCCACTTCTTTGAGTACCTAGATCGCTTGATTCTACGTTCTAATTTCTTATTCTTCACGATAGACCAGCTTATTTGTATCTAATTGGGACAGAAGTGATAAGATATATCGATCTTGGGCTTTTAGCAAAATACGGTTCACTCTCAGCCTTGCACCACAAACCCTTCCAAGCTGCCATCCGCCCACTTGTCCACAAGTTGTTCGAAAGCCACAGCCCCCATACTAAAGCCTACAGATGGCTCCTTTGTCTTCTGCTCTTTCTTGGGATCCTTGTAATCTGTAAAGTATGTCGGGGTGCAGGATGCCACAGGGGCATACCACGGAGCGTAAGGCTTCAAGCTCTCCGTGTAACTTTGCTCCGCCTCCTTGCTTACCTCAACTTCAACCCTGTTGATATCAGAAGCATGATC